AAATTGCTTGAGAATTCTGATCGTTAACAGTAATAGTAGACCATTTCTTCGTGTCAGTGACAGTGTTTCTCGTCCCAAACGCCACTTTCGTCTAACAATATGCTTTTCTTTGTTGCTCGTTGGAGATTTAATCGATTAAATCTTCAAGTCAATCATTTTTTTTTTAATTTTGACCATTTAATCGATTAAATATTCAACTTAATCGATTAAAGAGAGGTAAATTGGTAGATATGAGAGATAAAATTATTATTAATTAATTAATGAAAGGGGAAAAAGTTTCTGATGTTACTTTAGACAACTTTGTTTAATGTTTATCGAAACGACGTCGTTTTGAGGTTGAAAAATTAAAAAATTAAAATGATAAAGACTATTATAACCCTGAAATAAATTAAAATTACAAAAACACCATAATTTTCGTCCTAAAACAACGTCGTTTCAATGAACATTAGATAAAATTATCTAAAGTAACTTTAGAAAAAACAAACCCTTAATAAAAGTAAAAGGATCAAAAAGCCAGAAATGCTCCGAGGGTATGAAAAACTCCCATGCCACGAGTTGGAATTATTTTATAACGGCATTAGATTACATTCTACTCCATTTTATACAGCTAAAATATAGCCTACTGGCATCAAATTCCCTTAAAACGATGTTGATGCAAAAATATTTTAAATAAATTTTATATTTTCAAATTCTCTTTCAATTGTACCTTTATGTAACCTACAGTTACTTTTCCGTGTAATAATTTTTATTTATTTTTATTTTTGCACAAATATGATGTGCACATAAATTGAGTACACTAAATTTTTAAAAACAATTCTCCTTTCAAATAAAGATGATTGAGGGTTTCAACTACCAAAAAAGAAAAAAGAAAAAGATGATTGAGGGTCTAAACAAAGACATCGAACTCCCAGCATGCTAGGATTTCTAAAAAGCAAATTCCGAAAGCAATTCTAATTAAGTCTCATAACATGTCAGAGGCATTTAAATAGAACATTACCTATAAAATACCAAATTAGATAATCAAAGAAGCAAAAACCGAAGAATATATTATTATTTTTTAAAAAAAAAACTTAAAATGTTAGTTGCAACTACGATTAGGTCGGGTTGTAAAACCGTTGACCAATTTGGCTAAATAATTTATCTTTTTCTTAAGCTCGTTTTGATGATTTAAAAAAAAAAAAACTTTTTATGACTTATTTTTTTTAGAAGTTAAAAATATTTTACATTTGAATGGAATACATAAAAAAATAATTTTAAATAAAAATATTATTTGGATGTTAAAACTAATAAGCACTATTTTATATATAAAATTACTAAAACAGATCGGAAGTAATGAAGTGTTAGTAGTGGAGTTGGAATAAAATTGAATTTTAAAAAATCATTTGATTTTTGCCTTCTACTTTTTTCGGAAACAAGGAATGTTGACTTTTAAAAAAAGAATTATGTTAACTATATCTAAAATTCTACTTTTAAAAAAAAGTTCATATCGAAACACATAATATGATTTAAAAGGATTTCTTTTCTTTCTTTTTTTGAAAAAAGCAACTTCTTTAGTAAAAAAAAAAAGCCCATTCAAACACATTCTTAATCAAACTTGTGGAATTGAGAAAAATATAATTTATATTTAATAAAGAGGGACGGTTATACTTATCATCAGGTAAGTTTACCACCCTTACGATCAATCTCATCACCGTTATATTAGAATTAAATCTAACGGTTCATAATTATCCTTTATAATCCTTATATGTTATTTGATATTTGTTTAATATAAAATAAGGGGAAACAACTTCTCATTTGACAGAAGAACTTCTTTTTTGCAGCTGAGAGAGTTTTTTGGTGGGACCCATTGATTGTTTTGAAAAAAGACAAAACAAAAAATAAATCACACATTTCAATGTTTTGCTATGTGATTGCTGCAACAAAAAAACTTCTCCATTGAAAGGAGAAGTTGTTTACCCATAAAATAATAATAAGATTCATATTGTTTATGGGAAAAGCTACTATCATGTGACATAATATAACATTTTTTTACCTGCTGACCCATTGATTTTTGCATCAGTTTTTTTTATTTTTTATTACATGTATGAGATCCCATTTTTGTTTGAGTAGGAAAAATGGTTTTGATTCCTATTACATTATGGTAGCTTTACCCATTGTTTATAACTGTCTTGTTTAAGAAAATTTAAAATTACCTATTTGATCGATGAAATAATTATGGATGAATTTGCTAGAAAATCCTTATATGTTATTTGATAAATAAATAAATAAATAGTTTTTAGTGTTGGATATCATCTATTACAAGGGGTGTTCATCAACCGATCTAAACCGTAGTGACCGAACCGAAAAACCGATACCGAATAAATTGAAAATCGAAAAATGAAAAATCGAAAAAAAATCGCAAATTTTAATTGGATTGGATCGATTTTCGGATTGGTTGATGAAAACCGATCCAATCCAAATCGATCCAATATATTAATTCTCTTTTACCTACTTGGAACTTTCTCCAATCATAGCCCAAAAATTTCTAAACCCAAGATCTATTAACCCATTAACTACCCAAGATTCATTAACCCATCAACTAAACCCAACGAAAAACTTAATCACATCTCATCAATAAAATTTTATCTGTGTAGAGCTATGTCTCATTGTCAAAAAAAAAAAAAACTATATCATCGTTTACTGATATGCTTTTGTATTTCAAAAAAAAATTACAAAGCCAATATATACAATAATACAAAAGATGTTATTTGCACAATAATCATGAAACAAATTTTAGGATTTTCAAAAAACTGAAAACCGATCCAATCCAAAACGAAAAAATTGGATTAGATCGGATCGGATTTGGAAAAAAATTCAAACCGAATAGATGATTACATGATCAAATCGAAGGGATATGATCAGATGATTTTTACTTCTAAAATCGATCTAATTCAAACCACGAACACCCTTATCCTCGTAAAATGTCATGTAATCTATTCTAAGGTTCAAGATTCTCTTTAGAAGAATATTTGTAGAAAATTAGCAATAAGTTTTTATTTTTTAATGAAATTAGTTACAACTTACAACACTGGAATTGGAGTTGGAGCAAATAAATACACCAAGAAATTTGGAATTGTGAGATTCTAGAATGGAAGAATGAGGTCCCTAGCGTCACGTTGACAAGAGCTTGACGTCGTGAATATAATTGGTGCAACACGTTTGGTCTTTACATTTTATCTTATCCAGATTCAAATCTCAAATTGTGAATCAAAGCTTCTTGCTTTTGTTGACCGTAAGAACTTAGAATATAAGCTAGTTTTTCTAGTTTACAAATAGAGTTTGGTGGTTGTCATTTTAAATGATATAAGTTATATCATTTTAGGAGAGAGATAAACACAGAAAAATAAAAATCATGAGAAAGAGAAAGTGAGTGATTTTTTTCCGTGTCTGTCGCTCTCTTAAAAGGACAGAGTGTTATGTCATTTAAAATGACAAACACTTTTCCCTTAAAAATAATTATTACTATTTTTTTAAGAATTAAAAATATAAAAATAAGATTATTTTTGTAATTATCAATACAAATATATTGTCTACATATAAAAATCAAAGACACCACACTTTTTCCTTTTCTTAGTATTCCTTTTCATTTCTAAGTTATGTTTCACTTTTTTTAGCCTCCTCTCATTTTATTCTAATTGAGTTAGTTTTTCCCCCCGACCTCTTATAGTCTCATTCTCATATTTTACACTCATCTTGAATGTAATTTGTTTTTTCTACTTTATTTGTAGGGTGCGTTTAAATTTTTCAGAAATTGGTTAGTTTTCTCATTAGTGTCATGCTCATGCCATCTCTACAACTCGATTTCGAACAAAATTGACTACTTATCTACATTGTTTCAACTTTTTTTTCGTTTTTTATTTTGATATTTTTACCTGAGTTTGAATTTTTTATTAATAAAATAATATTATTTAAATTAATTAGTAGTTTGGGTTTTAAAGGAGGAATGAGATGCAGAGAATAATAGATAGAAAATTATTTAAAATTGATGTGATAAAGTGTAATAGGAAGCTATGTTGCATCGACACCGACACAATATGACACGACATGTCAACATGTTAATTCTAAAATTTTGATATGTTAGAACATGTTTTGATATTAGATAATATTTATAATATATATATATATATATATAATATAATTTACATTTAATATGTATAGCAGCCATAATAAGTCATATAACCAATTCCAAATATTTAAATTTCATAACATAAATATAAAGCAAAAATAATTTTTTATGTCAAATTCCATAACATAAAATATTAGATTTATAAATGCTTAGTTAAAAAAATAACATTTGGATTTTAAAAAAAGTGTCAAAAAATATTGGCCGTATGTCAAAATGTGTCAGAACATTGATCGCGTGTCGAACACGTGTTGAAATGTGTCGGTGTCCGACACATATTTTTCTTCTAAATTGACATGTCTGTGCTGAAGTAATAGAAAACACTAAACCCTATTCATATTAAATAAGAGACTTTTAAAATATTAATATAAAGTTTTGATAAATTAAAATAGAATCAATATATGATATGATACTTTTCGTAGAGTCTAATAAATATATATATCAACTTGAAATATTCATAACCTTTAGGTCATTGTCTATAGAGATATCTAAACTTAAAATATCATGATCAGACTTTAAAAAAAAAAATTTGCTAAAATGATTATAAGATCTTTTAAAAGAATCTCAGAAGATAATTTATGTATAATAGAATATTAAGCTTTTAAAATGGCATTTAGGAATTAGTATATATTTTTCGGAAGCACTTAATATAATATTTGCCGACGCCTCCAATGCAGAAAAGTCAAACCCAACCAACTAATGTTTTCTGCACCTTTATCTTACCATTCCACCTTCTCAAATCTCTTTGATACCTACATATATCCGAACTCCATACACACATTACACATACACATTAAACAAACACCACCTTGTGAGAAATTACTCTTCATTTGTAAGAAACACGATGTCGGATTCAGAGCAATGCCCACCTTTTAACTCACCCAGATTGGTTCTCAAGAAGGTTTTAGCCCAATCTCAACAAGAAGGTGATGGAGCACTTGTCACGAGAGGCATTGGAAGGTATTCTTATTTTTTCCTACATCCTCCATGCATTTAGTCAATTTTGATTGATAAGGTGTCACGACTTGTGGGATTCTATCATTTTTTATTAATGGATTTGGTTTGGCATCTGATTGATTCACAGTATTGAGTTGCAGAGCTTGGATCCTTTTCTGTTGTTGGATCACTTCTCAGGTGCAACAAACTATGACGACCTTCTAGTTGTTGGTTAAAGCCTCCATTTGTTGACCACTTCTATGCTTATGTTGTTAGCCAGCATTAATCTGTAGTGATTTTAAGAGCGTGTTTCGTGTTTGACTTTGCAGTATCTCCGCCTGCAGGATTTCCTGACCATCCACACAGAGGTATTTATTTCACTCTTGACTTTAATTTGTCCACACTTGGGACTCGGTTATCAAATTAATGTTTTCATTTGCAGGTTTTGAAACTGTCACCTACATGCTACAGGTATAATTAATTACATTTGTCATTTGTCATTTTTTTGTGGGGTGGAAAGTGAGTGAGGATTGAGGAACTTATGTATAAATTTCAGGGAGGCATAACTCATCAAGATTTTGCTGGGCATAGGGGTACAATAAGAACTGGTGATGTTCAGGTAAGTGACGTTAATTTAATTGATGAATTCATAAATAATAATAAGAGTAAACATCCTTTTTGGTCCCTGTCAATATCTACGAAATCTTTTTTAGTCTCTGGTAATAAAAAAGTACCAAATTGGTCCCTAACAGTATGAAAAAAGGGCCACGTTAGTGATGGAGGAGTTGACATAAGGGCTAATGTGACCATTTTTTCATAATTTTAGAGACCAATTTGATCTTTTTTTATTGTCAGAAACTAAAAAAGATTTCGGAAATATTGCCGGACCAAAAAAGGGTGTTTACTCTAATAACAATAAATTGAAAGGAAGGACAAACAACAATAACATTGATTGGATTGATGTGCAGTGGATGACGGCAGGCAGAGGAATAATTCACTCTGAAATGCCTGCAGGAGAAGGAACCCACAAGGGAATACAACTATGGATCAATTTACCTGCCACACACAAAATGTAACTAAATTCAACATTCTACCTTTATCCATTCATATCGTATAAGGACTACTAGTCATCATTTTCTTCGATTTTGAATATTGCAGGATTGAACCAAACTATCAAGAACTTGCAAGCGAAGACATAGCATCAGCAGAGAAAGATGGTGTTCGAGTGAGGGTTATAGCAGGAGAAGCAATGGGAGTGCATTCACGGGTTTACACTCGAACACCAACCATGTTCCTTGATTTTACTCTTGAGCCCGGAGCTGAATTGCATCAAGGTATTCCAGAGACATGGAATTCCTTTGTTTATGTGATTGATGGGGAAGGAGTTTTTGGGTTCCCAAGCTGTTCACCAATTATGCGTCACCATGTTCTGGTTTTGAGTCTGGGCGATGGTCTTAGCGTTTGGAATAAGTCTGAACAAGCACTGAGGTTTGTGCTGATCGGAGGACAGCCGCTGAATGAGCCAGTGGCTCGGCATGGACCATTCGTGATGAATACTCAATCTGAAATTAAAAAAACTATTCAAGACTATCACTTCCGCAAGAACGGGTTTGAGATGGGAAAATATTGGACATCTCAATACTAAGTTAGAAGTTAGAACCACCGATACCTCATGCTCAAAATGTTTGTTGTTCTTTCGTTTGTTCTTTTAGACTGCTATTTTAATGTTTATGACCATGATATGTTAGATTCATTTCAATTCAAAAAATGAGAGTGGTTAATTTTTTTTTTTTAATTGTTTAAAGGGATACTTTTTTTATTTTATCATTTACATAAAAACAATTTATTTGTAACTAAAATTTAAATTTAATTAATTTTTAAAAATATAAATAAAAATTAATTTTAGTTAATGGATATATAAATGATTAAAGAAGTATAATACGACGTTTATCAACAAACAAAAAAAAGTATAATACGACAACATATCGATATTTAAAGAAATTTTTTGAAAAAATTTCTATAACAAGAATAAAAATAAAAGACCATGGAGTTTAAAACAGAGGTTTCTACAAATTTTTGACCGTAGACTCTTACAAATTTAATTATATATTAAGGGTAGTACATAAGTTGATTTATGTATTACCCTTGATACATAACAAGCTTGTAAGAGTTTATAAAAAAAATTTATAAATATAATCTTGTTCTTAATTGTATACTACGTTAGCCTGATAAAGAACTCTTAATACATAAGTGAAAAAGATTTTAATCTAATAAAAAATTTGATAATTGGTATTTACATTTAAATTGAGGCTATCTATAATTGTCGGTATAACTGCGAAACCCATGAGGGTTGCATTACTCATTTCAAATCTTGGTTAAATGAAAATTTTTGTTAGTTAGGCAGTTAGCGACCGGTTAACAAGAAACGGTTTCCACTTAAACATACTTAGCAATTTATAGTGGGCTGGAGACAAAGCCATCGTATCGTTATCTTACATTATATAAGGCAGTCATCATGTTCTTGTTTATAACAAACATGTTTGTGTTCTTTGTCTGCTTCTCGTACATTGTTCCAAGCCGTTTTGCTTTCTAACAAACCTTGCGTAGAAATTAGTTATAGATTGCGAACATGGAAGAAATGTTCATGCGAAGCCAGAAATGATGCATGCGAAGGTGATGACTGATGAGCAATTAAAATGACTTAGGATGCAAATCGCGGTTTATAACACCATTTCTGAGCAACTAGTGGAGATGAACAAGACACACTCATCTCAGCAGGATCCTGCATGTTCTTGATTTTCTTGTCCTCTCATGATTTCTATGCCCATTTCCCTCTTCATTACCTAATAGATCATTTACAATTAAACCATTTCTTTTTCCAGTTTTGATTATTTGTAATGCGTGCCCATTTTTGGTTCTTAGATTGGTTCAATTTGCTTATATACTACTTTTCTTCTTTCTTTTGACCTCTTCCAAAAAAAATTCCCTTTATGAGAAATCTCGGTTAAAAATTTACAATTTCCTATGCTTTTTTTTATGTGAATCTGTTGATTATTTATAAAATGAACATAAATGCCGGATGAGGTACGCTATTAGAAAAGTCTTAATTTTCGAAGGAATTTTTTGACGAAAAAAAATCACGTCGAATTTTTTTGACGGAAAACGAATTCCGTCGAAAATCTTATAAAAAATAAATAAAAATAAAATTATATTTGTGAATTTGCGACGGAAAAAGAATTCCATCGAAAGTCTTATAAAAAATAAATCAAAAAAAAAGATATTTCTGAATTTTTCGACGAAAAATTAATTTCGTCGAAAACTTTATAAAAAATAAATTATATTTTTGAATTTTTTGACGGAAAATTAATTCCGTCAAAAACTTTATAAAAAATAAATAAATTATATTTTTGAATTTTTCGACAAAAAAAAATGATGATTTCTTGGGCAAATGGGACTGCACTACTTCAGCATGTATCTCATTGTCACAACCATGCCTAGAGCCAAACAAGCATGTCTTTTGGGTTGCTTTTCATCTTACGGAAGCAGTGTTTTCAGTCATAGCATCTTGATGTGTGAGTGATAGATCAATATGTACACCAGTGAGCATTCAAGAGCTTGCCAAAATGTAAATGGTAAAGTTGAAGTCTATGTAGTTATGTGAACCAAATTGGTAATATTTGTAAGGGTCTCTGAATGCTTCATTCATCTCCATCTGTGGTTCCTATGCACAGAACCTAAGGTATTTGGTGCCTTCAGCGCCAAAATCCAAGTTCATGTTCACACTTCCTTCACTAATTTCCATGTCCAAATAGCTGTAATTTGTTCAAAGAAACTTTGGATTCATCTTAGAGTATGAAATGGTGGCCATGACTATGAAGGAGTCTCATATATATGTTTCTGAATTGAAACCCTTTTCGTATTAGTTGAAAATAAAGGGATTAACAAATGAAAGTTTTAAATGTAAATATATTAATATTTAAATTAAAGAATCAAATATGTAAATGAAAATTATATATGAAAGATTTTCAATATTTAAATTATATGAATAAATATTTATCTTGCTTGAGAATAAATATTTATATAAAAAAATTTAAATTCTAATTATAAAAATAAATTTATTTATTAGAAGATTTTTCGACGGAATTTTATTCATTTTTCGTCGAAAATTATTACAAGATTATTCGACGGAATTTAATTCATTTTCCGTCGAAAATTATTACCATATTTTTCGACGGAATTTCATTCATTTTCAGTCAAAAATTTTGGACGAAAAATATTTCGTCGAAAATGTCCGTCGACAATTTTCGACGGAATCGCTAATTCCGTCGAAAAAATCGTTACCAACGAAGAGATACACCACGGCTACATTTCCATCAAAAATTTAATTATCGACGGAATTTTTCCGTAAAAAAAAAGGCTTTTTAGTAGTGGTATGTATTGCTAGTTTTAGTTAAGTATTACAACAAGAAGCATCAACTAGTTACTATTGAGACCAGCTTCCCTCAACCCTCCACCAAGATAAAAGGAGACGTTTATTTTCTTTGCTTGACATACAAAAAATGACATTTTGTTAATCTGATGATGCATGTTCATCAAGATCCAACATTCTATTTTTTTTTTCTCCATCAGGGTTGCTTAGGGTGGAAAATACAGACTGTGACCCATTGATGACATCTACTCTCCATAAAAAACAGCGGTGGACTCCAACAACTACGCAACGGCAGATTCTTCAGGATATATTTGATAAGGATAAAACTCCAAGCAAGATCGAGGAGCTTACTGGTGAACTGAGTCACTATGGCCAAATTTCTGTAGAAAATGCCTATCATTGGTTCAAGAATAAGCGTTCTCAATCAAAAAGAAAACAAAAAAATGTGAGGCCTAGTAATTCTGATTCAGAAGTTGAGCCTTCTGAGGTGAAGAAGACAAAACCAGAGGAATTTCAGTCCCAACATAAAAGTGCTGATAAACCAAATACATGCTCTGACTTGCCTTACAGGAATCCACAGTCCAATGAACCAGATTGTATGTTTCCATCAGATTACCGTTTATCCACAAGGAATTTTAGTCACGTGTCTGTTCCTGGTGGAGTGCTACCAAACTCAAGTATGTAACTTCTTGTACTTTCTCTTACATTTTCGGTAAAATACTTGTCTTGTCTCTTTATTAGTCAATCATTTTAAACGTAATGTGAGATGGCTATTCTCTTAAGTTGTAAGAGATACTAGATGTCTAACATGGAAATAATTATAAGCCAAGTAATATAGTCTTAACACATTGAAACATTCAGGTAAAAACGAGCAAAATAATTTACAAGAGAATTTCCTTCTAGTTCATCCAAAGGGGAAGTACTTGTAGTACTCCTTCAGAACTAAAAAAGCATATTTATTCTGACATGTTAGATCCACTTTCGGATGTTTTCCCCTCCAATTCAGTCATGGATTTGGAAGACCTTGCAGGTAACCTTGTGTAATGGAAGTCAGTACGTACGCAGTACTAGAAATTTGGAAATTTTCTTCCTGCAAAGAATGGATGAACGAGTCTCCAAGTAATTCTGTATTGGAAAATAAATCTATAGTTCCCTAACATGCTGCTATTCATTTAGGGCATGTTTGGTGCATTGTATAGGATAAGACCTGATAGTAAAAGACCTTAGGGCATGTTTGGTACATAGTATAGGATAAGGCCTGATAGTATAAGACCTGATAGTATAAGGCCTGATTGTATAAGACCTGATTGAATTTTAATACTATCCAGCGTTTGACACGGTATCGTATAAAATAATATATTGTATAAGATAATATCATCTAGGGCTGGCAATATGGGTCAGCCCGCCCCGGCCCGCCCCGGCCCGCCACTAGCCCGCCCAAAATGGGTTGGCCCGCCCCGGCCCGTTTTGATAAAATGGGTTGAATTGAGTAACCCGGCCCGTTTTATGAGTGGGCTGGCGGGCTACGGGCCAGCCCGCCTAAAATAAAAAAAAATATAAAAATAAAATACAAAAAATTAAATTCTGCATAAAATCACATAAAAAAATCTGCATAAAAGCATACAAAAATCTGTATAAAATCCTAATGTGCTTATGAAACCAAGAAGATCAGTGTTTAATAATCTGCATATAAATATGCATCTTTCAATCCAAAAATAATAATAAAAAAAAAATCATATCAGGATAAAATAGAATAACAAAACAAGTAACAAAGTGTTGTATGAGCAGTCCACAACAATTCAAAAAAGCCACTTGCAAGCAGAGAAATCTAAGATACGGAGCTACATAACAATTGGGTAACCTAAAAAAAAAAAAAAAAAATGACTTGGCAGGCTGACCCATATGGGCTGGCGGGTTTGGCGGGCGGGTGGGTTGAAAGACTCAACCCAGCCCGCCCCATTTGGCAGGCGGGGCGGGCCAGCCCGGCGGGCTCAGCCCATTTTGCCGGCCCTAATATCATCTAGTATTTAGTAATGCACTATATAATACTATATATGATAAAAATAAATATTTTTAATAAAAATATCCTTTAATAAAGAATTTATATAATTCTTCAAAAAATGTCATATGATATTAATTTTTATAAAATTTATTGATCAGTGTGTCCAAAATATAAATTAATTTTTATAAAAATAAAAATATTTAATATTTTAAAAATTAATATATTAAAAAATTAATATTTATTTTAATAGATTAATATTAAAATAATATATTAATTTTTGAGAATTACATTGGTCAATGATATTAATACATCCATCTCTTATCAGGCCTTATCCCTCACCCTTAGGCCGGATTAAGTTATACATCATTTTGATGTATTAAGGGATTATGCTGTATAAGCTTATACTATACGATGGTCACACCAAACAGCTGAAAATGTCATAACGTATAGTATAAGCTTATACTATCATGCCTTATACGTCACACCAAACAGGCCCTTATAGTATAAGGCCTGATAGTATAAGACCTGGTTAAATTTTAATATTATTCAGCGTTTGGCATGGTACTGTATAAGATGATGTATTGTATAAGATAGTACTATCCAGTGTTTGGTAATACACTGTATAATACTAGATAGGATAAAAATAAATATTTTTGACAAAAATACCCTTTAATGAAGAATTTATATAATTCTTTTGAATGTTATATAATATTAATTTTTATAAAATCTTATCGATTAATATGTCAAAAAAATAAAATAATTTTTGTAGAAATAAAAATCTTCAATATTTTTGTAGATATGTTACCTAGCTCTATCTCTAAATGATCTGTATCCATTTCCCTCCTTATCAAATTATGCAGTAAGCAACAAGCAATAATAATTCGGTTGTGAGTCTTAACAGTATAAAAACTTGGACTTCTAAGAATTGCCCAACGCTCTTCAACAACCCAAATGTCCTTTCTATGACATTTCTAGCTTGAGCATGTCGCTTATTGAAAACTTCTTAAGAAGTTGCCGGGACATATCCATGCCTCCACTCGCTTAGATGGTACCTTGTCCCCCTATAAGGGGCAAGAAACCCATCCCCATTAGTGTATCCAGCATCAACCAAATAATAGTATCTTATTTAATAAAACAAGTAAGGTTCATTATATATTTTTCTATTTAATAGAACAAGAAAGGTTCAATATACCATATATTGTAATAAAATGACTAAATTGAATGTAATTTTCACGCTCTTACCTAATGGAACCTTAAGGCCATTTCTCTTATTAATTGCATCACGCAATACCCTAGCATCTGAAGCTGAACCCTCCCAACCCGGCAACACATATACAAATTTCATGTCTCGTGAGCATACTCCTAACACATTTGTGGCAATTTCACCTTTTCGACTTCTATATCTTGGCTTGTCAGCCTCAGGAACATTAACAGTAATATAAGTTCCATCTAAAGCTCCAAGACAACCCTATAATAGATAAGTAAACAATCTCTAATAATTTATCACGTGAAATAAGTACAACAATCCAAAATTGAAAAAAAAAAATATAATTCATACCTTAAACCATTTCCACCTGTCGTCAGTGCAATTAATAAGAGAAATGGCCTTAAGTCAGTGCAATTCTCAGGAACTGGATCCGATACCTTCAATAAATTTTGACATCATAAGCCCCAAAGTTCCTACTTTCATTCCATTTTTGACATCATCTCCATATGATATCCTTCCTCATCGCCAACTTTGATGTTAAACTGGTAACAACTCCAAGTTCCTACCAACTTGGATTACCTCCTAAAATAATTTTAGATAAATTTGCATTTAGGCTCATAACATAATATTAGATAAATTTGCAAAAGCAAAATTTATGTCCGAAAAGGCAAATATTTACTACAATATTCAAGTCATTGTATAGAAGTATTTTTACAACCATGTAAGATCAGTTGGCATTCAGCTCTACTGACAACTATTGCTCTTGATCAGGTCATACTACTTAAAACCACTGTATTATTCAAAGACAGCACATTCTTTTTTTTGTTTTGCACTAAGATTCTCTGTTGACATCGATGTCAATGTACCTCAAAAAATGCATCAAAAGACCCAACCACAAGAGCCTATCAGGCTTATGTCTGTATCAATCAAAAAATGAGGAAGACAAACAATGCAAAATGTATAGCAAGTGAAAAAAAATATAAGCTCAATATCGGTGGCCATATTACCGTATCGACCTATATAACGTACTCTGATATCAAATCCATCTTTTTTAAAAGCAAAAGAATACAGCGTTCAATTCTGATCCCTATATATGCTTTGCTACAACTCATTTCCTTTTCAAGCAAAATAATTTTCATTTACCAAAAGAAAATAATTTTGAAATTTTTCTTTCAAATTTTTTCTCATTTTTCATCATTCCATCCCCACTCAAAGAAATCTGACATTGTGAAAAATGTAATAAATTATAACCTATTCGATAGCAAGCAAGAAGATGAGGAATAGAGAAATTACTACTCAACTATGTGTGAAGTTGTCAATAGCTTCAGCTCAAGAATCAGAATGAGAAAGGGTTTACCATTACCACGTGAGGAGTGAGCTGTGAACTATGAAGAAAAACCAGTGAATCACAATGGAATGGGCCGAAGAGAAGTGTGTTGTGTCAACGTGAGGAGCCTGGACCAGATGTCTCTATTCCCTCAGGCGGCCAAGCCGTCTTGCCTACGACAGCATACTGTACGGAGAAGATAACAGGTGGTTGTTTCTGAGAAAGTTCAAAGGTGAACGTCAATGGGAAGAAAGGGGGCAGATGGGGAATGGAGAAATTAACCTAATACATCACACTCTTATCAGGTCTAATCCTTACCCCCTAGCCCTGATTAGATTATACATCATTTTGATGTATTAAACAACACTACTGTATACCATAACAAATAGTGAACGAAATAGATTTCATTGCTTTCTGAATGTGCAAGTCGAAAGTCTTTAAATAGACTTAACAAATCCTAAGCTATAGCAACCGACGAACAGCCTAAGAATAACAGTAAGATACATAAGGGATAGGAGCAGAAGAATAGGAAGAATATCAGCAAAATAATACAAAGAATAACAAACTGCCTAGATACATATCTTATCTACAAATCAAAACAAATTATCTTCAGAATCTTCCAGTCCAATACTTCCCCTCAAGTTGGTGCATGAATACGATGGTCACACCAAACAACTGAAAATGTCATAATGTATATACTATCCGACCTTGTACATCACACCAACCAGGTGCTTAAGCTCCAAAGTCCAATCCAACATACATAATATGAAATTAAGATCCTTTTCAACGTACCTCCAGAAACCGAATGTGAGAGTGCATATATGGTTGCGTGTTTCTATGATATTTTAGTTTTTGATGCATCTGTGTGTGGTTCTCTGTGATTTTGTAATTTTAGAATGGGCTGGGAAATAAATCCCAACAGCAAGAGCCCTGAAAGCTTAAACCGGTCATGATGGTCTTGTTGGGAGGAGGATATTTGAGAAAAAGAAAAGGTTTAAAAAGACACTGAGGAAGAGAACACTTTTATTATTACACAACTCTTTTTCCTTTTCGGCTTTTTGGTTTTAAATGACTTGTTACAAAATGATAGAAGACACACCTATTTATTCTAGTGGCACTTCCTTAACTAATGGCTAAGATTGTGCCAACACAATTCTCATCTAAGGGCTACAAATTATTCTCTACAATTTTCTATAATCTCCTAGCCTAGATATTTATGATGGTGGTTTCTAGATACAACTATTCTCTAGATATTTTGATAGAGACATCTAGAGTTGAATATTCTAGAATTTGGACTAGATAACTCTTGGATATTTCTAGATGTTGGACTAAATGTATACTAAGGCCAATGAACCAAAAAACTAAATCAAATTTATTATTTATTCAACAGGTCTGATATTAACTTGGCAGGGAGTGAAGATACTGCTGGAAAAACGGAAGTACCGGGAGTTATAATTTCTACCAGCAAGCTGGAGACCACGACATGACGGGTTGGCAATAAGTGTCATATGAAAACTGTGACTGACTTCAAGTTCAAGGTGTAAAGAGCTTGTGTTAATGAGTAGTAGGCAAATTTCTTTTCATTTGTCCAACCTTAATGCGTTGCTTAAAATTTGACCGTATCGTGGCAAATAAACTGACATTGCATTGTGAAGATGCTTCCATGGTTATCCTTTATGGTTAGGCTTATGCCTATTTTACCTCAGTAATAGTAATGATTGTCTTTGGGAGTTTTTGTTGAAAAAACTTTTGTCAGTAATCTGTTTTTTTTATTTTTATTTTTTCGTTCTCTGTTCTGATTGGGTGACATTTAACTTGATTTTTAGATGGGGAACAGTCAGCACTTTATGGTAAGGCAACGGTAATAATCAAGGCTAAAAGAATTTTCCTTTATAAAAGTAAATAAAGAAGATAAATTCATCGTTAATTTAATTTATACGAGTTGATATATTTAATTATTTTAAGGACACATATACTATAATTTTTTCTTGTAAGGTATATAAACAAAGTACAGAGGAATTAATGAGGCTATTCAGCTGCTTGCATAGATGTTAAGGAAAATATGAGATATAATATTGAAGTAGTGGTGGTGGACTAGTCTGTATACGACAGTAATGAAGTTGTTGAAGGCAAGTGGTGCCGTGGTTTTCGTGGCCACTTGTTTGCAAAGTATTAAACAGATACTTAATTGGTCAAAGGACAAAAATATCCTTCATCTTATTGCAGTGGGAAACTCGCAGTCCAAAGCCCAAACCCCATAAGCATTAAAATTGATGAGCCAAGGGAGGGAAATGGTAATTGGATAAGCATTAAAATGGAAACGATAAAAAGATTCTGTTGGTGGCGTCTGAGGGTGTGATACGATGAATTTGGGCAAGTTCGGAGAAAGGGAGGCACGTGATGGAAATGACATGAGGGGCGAGTGATGTCTTAAACTATTCTACAAGTGGGAGTGGAAGAGGGCATCTCCTCATCTAAGCACAAGCACAAGCACAAGCATAAGCATAAGCAAGCACCAACTATAGTATGTATGATAGTTAGAGGTAACCTTCCTTTTTAATATTTCCATTTCCATTTTGGTGTCCAGAGACAGAATCGATGTATCCGTCATCGTCATCGTCGTCGTGTTCGTCTTCGTCTTCGCACACCCAAACGGGGCTGACCCGCTATGGCTCTGCCCCTGGGTCTCTGTTGACCAGCACCGTGGATGCCATCATAGGAGTAGGAGTAGGAGGAGGAGGAAGAGGGTCGCGCCCTCAATACTACTCTGGGCCTGGGCCGGGGGGAGAGTCTTCGGAGTCAAGGTTCAAGGAGCAGAGATCTTCTTACGATGATGCTTTTGGGGGAGGATCCTGCTCCCTCCTCCGTCAGAAAAGCTCTCCCCCTGGCTTCCTCACCCATCTCGCCAATCACAATCACAATCACAATCACAATGGTATATATATATATATTCTTATTTCATCTTCTTCATTCATTACTAATTACTAATTACTAGAACTAGAAATGCCATTCATAACACTAATAGTAACAGCAACTCATCTTGCATTACTCCACTAACTAACTATTGTTTTGTGCATTAACTCTTGACTCCTCAAAGGAGGAGGAGGAGCGGGAGGGTTCACGATCACAAGAGGCAGCGGAAGCTACAACAGCAGCCAAGAGTTGAAGTCTCAACTCAGCTTCACAGCCCAAGATTCTCTTTCTCTCTCTCACACTCACGCCCACCCCACCACTTCCGACAATACTAATACTACTACAACCACTCATTCTTATGCTGCCGCCGCCTTTGGAATCGAACCCTGGGACACTTCCAATTCCATCGTTTTTTCTGCTCCCCCAAATAAGCGTTCTAAAATTACCAACGACGATCCTGACTTTCTACATTGCCTCGGTGCCTTGGAATCTCAGGTACTTACTTATAAAAACTACATCTTGCTTAATCTTATATATTAACAACACTAAATCAAATTATTATTATAATAATCAAAATGTTTATTCATTGTCCTCGTCTTCAGTTTAGTGTGCCCCAAACATCTCTGGAAATGGCAACGATGGACAAGCTTTTGCATATCCCTGAAGATTCTGTCCCTTGTAAGATCCGTGCTAAGCGAGGCTGTGCTACTCATCCCCGCAGCATTGCAGAACGGGTTTGTCACCTTTTCTTTCTATTTCCCCTCCCTCCCTCATTTATTCCTAACAAATTAAATCATACATTTTCTTTCAACTCAATAATAATGTTGGTACCCTTTTTTTTTTTATGTTACACGGACGTGTTTGCAATTCTCCGGTTTTATAGGAATTATGTTCTTGTCAAAATCCATTTACCACGGTTGTCGTTTTCTCATGTATACAGGAGAGAAGAACTAGAATAAGTGGGAAGCTCAAGAAGTTACAGGACCTTGTACCTAATATGGATAAGGTATGCTTACTTTCTTCCTTATTTGTGCCCTGCTATTTGTGCCGAGTAACACTCTTTCCCTATCATTTGTCCTTGTTTCAATTACTGAAGCTTCAATTGAGGTTTAACCTTACAAATAGATAGGTACTGAGGTAAGATGAAGCTTAGAACCATTCATCACTGATGCCTCTCTCCATGCTTTATGGGCAGTTAATTTCGAATTTTCAGTGTATGCTCAATCTTGTCGTAGCTTGAAGCATTGTTTACAGTTAGTATTTTGCTTTTGCTTTTGCTTACTTTGTTCATTTTTAGGGTCAAATTCAACTTATATCTGTTTATAATTACAGAGTAGGTCCGTGTAATTTAGATTTGATTATCTTTAGATATTACTTCTTAATCTTAATGGTTGGTTGGTGTATGGCTCATGCCATAATACCTTAGCAGTACGAATCCCTTCTATATATGAGTCTCTTGGATTGAATAGGGTAGATAACCACACGATATATATTATCACATAATTTATATGTCAAGTGTATCAGGGGGTTTAATTTTGTTTCGAAATGTAATTGTAGCAAACAAGCTATTCAGACATGCTGGATTTGGCCGTCCAACATATTAAAGGTCTTCAAAATCAAGTCCAGGTGTGTAAAAATACCTTAGCATTTACTGTGTAGAATAATTTTGACGTCTATGCATATTTATAAATTAAAAAATAAAAAATGCTTCATATGAATATGGTATTCTCAATCATAAATTTTAAAATATAATATGTATATGAGTTAATTTTAGTATGCATCCTTCACTTTTTTAATCACTTAATCATTGTTCTGTTGTATGCAACAACAAAATTTATTAGTAAAAGTATACAGAATCCGTTCAATCCAAAAACTTTAATTATTAGGTGAATGAAAAACACTTTTATTATTTTATATTAGAGAAAAATATTTCTGAAGTTATTGGAGATAAAGTTTATCTTCAGTGAGTACAAAACGATATCGTTTTGAGGTTATCAACATCAACACCAACACCACATTTATCCCAAATTAATTGGGGTCGGTGGTAGATGAACCCAAATGAAAGATACAAAAAGATTGAGAATCGTTTTGAGGTTATAAGATTAAAAAATTATAATGACAAAGACTAATATAACCCTACAATATATTATAATTACAAAAGGCTTTAATGTTTCTACAATGAATGAAGATAAGTTATCTACATTCCCTCCAAAACGACGTCGTTTTGGGTTGAAAAATTAAAAAATTATAATGAAAAAGACTACTATAATCCTGAAATAAATTATAATTACAAAAATACCTTGATTTCAGCCTCAAAACGACGTCATTTTGAGCTCAATGTAGATAAGTTATCTACATTGACGGTAGAAACAGCAAACCCATTACAAAAACTCCTTAATATTTGTCCCAAAACGACGTCGTTTTGGGCTTACCGGATATAACTTATCTCCATTGACTGAAGAAATCATGTACCCTTTATATTATATTATTGGGTTTATCGTTTCTTGTGACACGAGATAAAGTTATCTTCAGCAACTCCAAAACTACGTTATTTGAGAGTTTGGGGAATTAATGATAGGTGTTTTGGTAAAATTCATATAACAAAAAAACAAACAAAATTCTTAAAATATTCTTTGTTGATTATCTCAATCCCAAAACAACGTAGTTTGGGGTAGTTTGGGGTAGCGGTAGATAACTTTATCTCATGTGACTTTTTCCTATTTTATTTCTTAATACACCTTCTCACGCGAAAGCTTTATATGATTGAAGCATGGACCATCAACCCAAAAAACATATTTTTAGGGTTTGATATCTCGATAATTTATACAGGTTCACTACACCTAGAGCCCTTTTTTTAGTTTTTAAAATATGAAAATTAAACTTTTTTTTATTAGAAGAATGGGGAAAGTTTTAATATCAAATCGACATCTTTATCTCAAACTAATTGGGATCAGTGGTAGATGAATTCAAATGAAAGTACGAATGGATAAAAATAAAAAAATATATATATATATAAGTATAAAAGTAAAAATAAAAGGGGGGGAAAATAAATAAAAAAAGTTTAAGAAGAAGATGAAGAAGAAGACATGGAAGGGGAAAAGAGATAAAGGAAAAGAAGAAGAGGGGGGAGATGAAGAGGAAAACGATTAAAAAGTGCTCATCTAAAACATAGGAATAACAACAGGTCTAATCCTCCACCATGCTAATAGTTTTTCTGCATTTCGTCCTAAGTCATACCATCCTCCAATCTATATCTCATTTCATTAAGTTTTGTTTTACTACCTTCTCCCAAGTAAGTTTCGGTCTACCTCTACCTTTCTTTGTGTCGAGCTCTTGGTAACAAACTTTTGTTCTTACGGGAGCATCCAGGGACCTTCTCATTACATGTCCAAACCACCTCAATTTATGTTCTCCGGTCTTGCAGCCACCGGTTGTACTCCTACGTCGAATATCTTCATTTCTTATCTTATCTATCCTCGTATAACCACATATACATCTTAACATCCTCATCTCTGCTACTCCCATTTTATGTGCATATGTTGCCTACGTGCTGGCCAAACATTCAGCTCCATATAACATTGCAGGCCTTAATGCCTTATTGCTGTTCTATAGAATTTTCCTTTTAGCTTAAGGGAAATTTTACTGTCATATAAAACCCCAGAAACACCACATCATTTCATCCACGCTGCTCTGATTCTATGATTTACATCCTCATCAATCTTTCTGCCTTTTTGCAGAATGGATCCCAGGTATTTAAAAGTTCTGATATCATATAAATTATATATTCAACTTAAAAGTTTAAACGGTTAGATTAATACATTTGTATTATTTTATATCATATTATTCCTTATTAGAAAAAAAAATTATTCAAATAAAAAGTATGAAATTATAGTATTTTATACGCGTTGGAAAAGGAGAACTGCAAAATTAATTTTGGCGTAAATATTTACAAAAGCAGCCTAGCCTAGTGTGAGCCTTATCACACTCAGTGAGAGTGAGGTGCGGGTTGATGCTGTAAATCTTTAGAAATAAAAAATAATAAGAAAGGATTGGATATGAAAAGTTACATTGAATTATTTAACAATTAACATGTATCAAGAATATAGTTGTTCTCCTTAGACATGATTTATTTACGTTACTATAACATGCTGATGTTATACCTCGACTGTTGGCCCGTTCGTTAGGGACTTCTTGCATGGTATTAAATAGCAACATCAGTAATGCCAATTTTTTTTTTTTTTAATTTTTTAGTATCGTTTTGTTATCATATCTTTCAGTAAAGCTGGTATGTGATTTTTAATATATATATTGAATTTTTCATATTTTTTAGCACGAGGATTACAAAGTATAAACTGAAGCATTAGATAATTCTTAATAACTCTATTGATCTGGATTACATCATATTTTCGCCCTCTTTCAGAAGCTTCACAATGAACTTGAGAATTGCACTTGTGGATGCAAACAAAGCGTATAACTTATTTTGGCCGCGTGCATAGAATTCAAGGTTTTGATGGCAAAGAATGAAAAGTGATTTTGTACCTTCCTACTTACATGAATAATGAAGGAATCGAAAGATTGTAGATTATCAATTCGACAATTGTACAGTCTGTAGTAATCTGGTAATCTAGAAAAATCTCTTCATTTTCTTCACGAATCAAGAATCGCCTTTTAAAGTCGAGATTGATTTTCTGTTGACTATGATTTATTTTCTTGTTTGGTTACGTCTGTCACACTGGACTATTAATTTTTATGGAATCAGAACAAGAATGGAGTGGATGAATTAGAATACAAATTTCAATCCTGTTCTGATTTTGATTGACTTAGGAATGACATATATATATATATATATATATATATATATATATATATATATATATATATATATATATCGGAAATAAAACGTGCGTTGGTTAATTTCATCATGCTAGCAAAGCAATGACTGTTTTTGTCTGGGTAATCAAAAGCTTGGAAAACTTTTCATGATTTTTTTTAACCAAAACAGGAAATGTTTATTCTCATGGAGTTGATGTAAGAATAGAATCACCATTCCTCTTCATCAAATGTAATTTTAAGAGTTTGAGATGTTCAATTAAGCGTGTGATAATTTTATTATTTATTTTTGAAAAAAAAGAACTTTATGATATAGGTTTTTATTTTATTTTATTTTATTTTTGTAGTCTTCCTAATTTATAAGGAGATTAATAAATAATTATTTTGTGTGTTTTTGTGTGTGTGGGGGGGTTAATATTTATTTTGAATGTTTTTAAATATCATAAAAACTTTTATATTAAAAAAATACTTTTTCTTGAAAAAAGGGCAACGGATTCAAAATTAAGATCAATACATTGTCCTATAAGTTTTGAAGGAAACAACTCATTTGGAATTTTTATGTTTGAAATTTGTTGCGGAAGTTGAATTATCACAGTATCATCAACTATGCAGACAAACGCGCAGTGTATACCTATTCTGAGAAAATATTAAGACACTAAAATATAAATCTGATCGCCATTTCAATGTGACTAGGTTGCCCATTATTCAGAAGATTATAGGGACTTTGACGTGGTAAAGGCATTCATCCTCAACAATGTTTAATATCTCTCGTTGTAGAACATAAAATTATTTTATATATATATAAAAGTATATGAAATTCATATTTTCTTTTTTCTCTCTTCTCTTTACATAATTTCACATAAATCACATATACTTTTATGTATATGTAGGTGACAAAATTATCTTCAACATGTGAAACATCAAATTCTCCTCTCTAACTCATTTACAAAGTATATAAACAAAGTATATGTTGGTAACTTGGCGCTGGGTTAGTGGGGTTAGATATGTGTTCGATTCCCGCTGAATGCATTTTTGGGGAGGGGGCTGAACCTTTAGCCATCACTGTTCCCCCGCACTCCGGATTAGTCTCATAGCCGGCTCAAAGAGTCGAAGCTCGTGGGGATACCGGAGGGAGCCAACTCGTCTCAAAGAGATAATTAGAGTTGGGTAACTCCAAAAAAAAAAAAAAAAATTGATAATAACATAGGTTACTCTAAAACTAAAAGTCAAGATGTCAGTAACATGCCTGCGATCTCAACGGACATGCAAAAATGCACCCTCCGAAATACGCTCTGCGTTCAGCGAATCAGAGTGCTTAAAATTCTTGAATAAATTGAGTAGACCTGCATTGGCAAGGAAAGCTTGTGAGTGTGTTTAATTATGTTCTGATTGTTTTGTTTTTAAAACTGTTTTATAAAATAATTAATGAAATAAATATTTTCTGTATTCTTTTTTTGTTTGTTTTAAAAGTTAAAAGTCAAAATACAAAATAAAAATAACTCAGATATATTATCTAAATTTAATTTTAAAAACAAAAAAAAGTTATAATTTCAAAACAGATCTCAAACACCCCTATATTTCTGTTTGCGAAATTATGACTAGGAAGTTAAAATATAATGACTATTTAATAACTTTTTCCATCCAAATGCAAAACAAAAAATAAAAAATAAAAAATGCTCATTTCCCATTCAATAACAGCAATATAATTATCATTCAAGCATATCAAATGCACCCTTACAGAGTTTAGGATGATCAAGAGGTCTGAACAATACATTATCCTGTAGGCTGTAGCTTCCAAAGGTTTAACATCATATAGCGAATATTTATGAAATTCGCATAGATAGAAGTATCATATTACATATTATAATCAACAATGCCAACATGTACGTAGCGTTTACGATTCTTGTGAAAAATATGACAGCTGAACATAAAAATTAGTTTCTTTTCCAAAACGCAACAAAACTAGAATTGAAATGAATCTCAACTATAAAAGCCAATTCTCGATTCTTGAGAGAGAGATTTTCCTAAACTATCAGATTACAACCAACATATATATACAATTGCAGAACTGAAAATCTATTAACTTTCTATTCCTGCATTTTTAATTTTAAGAAAGTGATTCATTGCCATTGGAGCCTTTGACGTCCATGCGTGCTGTTCTGCCATAGAATTTCGCGAAACAAAACAAATTATGTGCTTGGTTTGCATCCACAACTGCAATGCTCAAGTTCTTTGTTGAACTTCTGAAGGAGAGTGAGAAGACAACGTAATCAAGATCAACAAAGGTATTAAGAATTAATGAATGCTTCAGTTGATACAATGCTATCCTTATGCTTTTAACAGATTACAAACTCATTATTTTACAATCACCTACCAGCTTTACTAAAAGCTACCATAACAAGGAATATAAATAAAACTTAATAAATAACTTGATATTATAGTTGTTGCCATTTAATACTAAGCAAGAAGTCACTAAGGAACATATCAAAAGTGCAGTTTATTTCTGCACATTTAAATGAAGGTAGACTAACTGACTAAGGGAGCAAATTATACGTTTTCTCTTCTTGGTACCAGAAAAGAAAAATACATTATAGGTACAATGTTACCATGCTCAGACAATGAAACTATGTTACATGGTAAATTCTATGGTAATGCACACCTGAACTTGACTCTGAAGCCCTTTAATATGTTGAACGGCCAAATCCAGCATGTCTGCATAGCTTGTTTGCTACAATGACATTTTTAAACAAGGTCAAACCACCTGTAATATATGCTTCAGTACCTCACACAGTGATTCGATATATAATGTAATATTAACACATGATGTTTTTACCCAATTCAAGTGAAGATACTCTCTATACATGAGATTTGTATACCTGAAATAAGGCTCTCATTGCATGACCCATATATACCAATTGAACTAAGATTAAGTAAGGTCCAAAGAGATAACCATACATAGATTACACAAGCCACTCTGTAATTACAAACTGATGCAACTTGAATTTGATCGTGACTTGGGTTGGATTTGGCAACTCATGCGAATAAATCTTACATTAAAAATGAATAAAGAAAGCAAGATCAAGTTGCTAGTTCTAAGCAATGCTACAATCTAACCACTTACAAATTCATTGCCAAGGTAAGCATAGAGGCTGCAATAATGAATGGTTCACATAAATAGGATTTAGCTTTTCCAAGTTCCACCTCACCTCACCTCTTATTTACTTGCAAGGCTCAATCTCACTTCAAGCTTCAACAAGGACCAATAGAAAGACACCATCATCTTAATTTGAATCTAAAATTAATCATAACTCTTAAGCAGATGGTCGTATTCCAGTTGTCCATAAAATATAACAGAAGTTCAAACAGTATCGAAGATGCATTGAAACTCACTGCTGATGGCAAGACAAAAGCACCGCAATAATAGCCAAAGAATGTTTCCAGGCACAAATAGCATAACTAAGAAAGAAATCACCATTACCTTATCCATATTAGGCACAAGATCTTGTAATTTCTTCAGTTTCCCGCTTATTCTAGTTCTTCTCTCCTGTTTGTGAATGGATATTGATTAGTATATTTTGTACAAAACCCAAGAATCGGCAAACACATTTATCCCACACCAATTACCTACCGACACAGCACATACGTGTATAAGGCTTAAATATAAAGCTGATATTTGTTTTAATAACTATCTTTATAATTACCTTAATTCCAAAAAAACTTGGCATAATTATCTTATGCTGACGTAGCTTAATAAAATACTTTGTACACCATAGGAATCTCAAATAAACATAAATCCTTCTATACTGTGCCTTGAACCTGTGGTCATGAATCCCCAAAAGCCAACTGATAAATCCTTGTATGCATAGTTCCACGCATCATTTCTTAGAAAATGAGTCGGGCCATCTTGCTGACAAAAAGTTTAGGGTGTTGTTTCAAAGAAAAGTTGACTAACCCTTTCTGCAATGCTGCGTGGATGAGTAGCACAGCCTCGCTTAGCACTGATTTTACAAGGGACAGAATCTTCAGGAATATGCAATAGCTTCTCCACGTTTGCCATTTCCATAGTAGTTTGTGGCAGACTAAACTGAAGAGGACAATGAAATAAACTTGTAAAAAGTTGTTGTATAGACCTTGGAGTCTCTATTTGACAAACCCAAATACAAACTGAATTTATGTGACTAATAAGTCCCCCAAAAAGAAAGTTGTTACCTGAGATTCCAAGGTAGCAAGGGAATGTAGAATGTCAGCATCGTTATTTTTAGGACGCTTAGTTGGTGTAGCAGAAAACACAAAGGAAGTAGAATCGTCCCAGGGTTCGATTCCAAAGGCGGTAGCAGGAGCATAAGAATGTGTAGGTGCATGATGGGCATTGTCGGAAGTGGTGACCTCTGATATGTGAGAAAGAGAAAGAGAATCTTGGCCTGTGAAGCTTAATTGAGACTTCAACCTTGATCCTGATACTGCATGGGATTGAGAGCTGTTGTAGCTTCCAGTGCCATTTGTGATTGTGAAGCCCCCTGCTGGTGCTGACTCTGTCAGTTACTTATGCAGAATCAACCATATGGTTTGCCAATTCAATTCACACTTTATATTCAAGTTCAGTCAATCATTTCAACTTGAAAGATAAAAAATTGCATTGATTTAAAAGCTTTAGCCATTTTTAATACCATCAATGTCAAAATTTAAAAAAAAAAACGGATGATCTGTTTACCAGAAGATGGAAATTGATCTAAAAATTAATACTAAAAAATTAATTACAAAAGCTTATATGCTATAATGTAATTCACAAAGTTAGAGGAGAGGTATTTTGGGCATTTAGACGTTGGTTTGGAGTGAGAGAGTGTAATAAATTTTTGGTGCTACTGTTGCATCAAAGATTCAGTACATCCCACGATAGGAGTATTACATGTCAGCTAAAGTTTTATTTTCTCTGCCAATTTTTTTTTTTCTCCTATGATATGTAATACTCCTATTGATGGGATGCATTGAATCTTTGGTGGGCACCAAAAATTTATTCGTGACAGACATAGTACATAGTAGGCAGGCATCTATTACAAGATACATGCCAACTTGCAAAAACCGGACAAAGACATTTAGACATATAATTAAGGAATTAATCAAACTCAACTGCCCAGGGCCCACCCTAAACATTCAACATAATTAATTTTATTAGCTCCTTCCAAAACCAGCGACGCCGTTAGTATTTATATTTCAAATCCACTCTTGTCTTGGATATGCGCCCACCGGAACTAAGAAGAAAAACAGTTTTGTTAAAGTTAAAAGTCATATTATATATATATATATATATATATATATATATATATATATATATATATATAATTCATTAAATGTAGATTATGGATTAAAAATAATATTGATTATTTGTTTTTTGTTTTATTTTTACTTAAAAAAATTAAATATTTTAGTAAATGGTAATAGGGGAAATAGTGATGAACAAACTCCTTCTTTTAAATAGAGCAAGCAAGGAGAGAATGAATAGTTGTTAATTAAGAAAATAGAAAGCAAAGAGTGGTTTAGTGATACATACTATTGTGATTGTGATGTGCGGTGGTGGCGAGGAAGCCAGCGGGCGAGCTTGTCTGACGGAGCAAGTCTGAAGAAGATGGGGATCCGCCGTAAGATTTCTGGTCGGCGATGAGGGCATCGACGGCAGTGGTTAGGAGAGAGCCCGGGGCGGATCCATATCGGGTCAAGCCCGTTTGGGTGATGGAGCTATGAGAAGAAGAGGAAGAGGAGGAGGTGGAGGAGGGATACATCATTCAAATTGATTGAGCGCAATTGGAATTGTGCTTTGCTTTTTAGTTAAGTCGTACACCATTTCCCATTTATTCCTAGAAAAGTCTATAACATACAGATATTTATTATTATTATTATAATAAATATTTATAGAAAACAATATTTGTGATTTTAAATGATAAAAATTATATCATTTTAAGAAAGATAGACATAAAATAATATTTTTTATTAATATTTAAATTAAAAAAATCATCCACTTTTTCTAGCATAATTTTTATTTTTTATATCTATTTCTTTTCTAAAATGATAACATCACTTATATACTTTAAAACGACCATCTCGTCCTGGATTTTATCACGGTCCTTCTCTATTTTATCACGCGCTTATTCTTATTTTTATAAATTATTTTTCATTTTTACTTTGAGTTTAATGTTTGTCTTTCTAAAAGACACGGAGTTATGTCATCTAAATAAGAGAAAAATACAAACAATAAAAATTATGAAAGAGAAAATGAGTGATTGTTTAAATTTAAATTTAAATCCTTTAAAAGATAAATATTATTTCTTTTACTTTTATCCTCTTTGCCGTGCACTTGCAGGTAAAAGAGTCATCATCAACACATTAAAAAAAAATAAAAAAATAAGTAGAGTAGCTAAATTGGTTATCAAGGGGATGTTTGATAGCTAGGTAAATTTTAAAATTCTGGGATTGTGAGATTCTTATTTTTTTCTTCTCCTGAAATTTTTATATTTTCGGAATTTAACTTTACACACAAGAATTCCAATTCAAAATACCATTGAACATGTGATATTTTAGAAATTCCATATGTTGGAAAAATGTTGACTCGACATTCTCAAAAAATTTACTTTCCCACTATATTATTGAGAATCGTGATTTTCGGATAAAAAAAATTCATCTCTTCCAAACGTCCTCTTAATGTGCAAGGGTTTGTTTTGGTTGCAATTCTTTGGATTTAAGAGGGAATCCCCTTCCCTTTCAAAGGGGATTAATCTCACCTTTCTAATAAACTCTGTTTTAACGAGAAGCTAATATTAAGGGCCGAATTCTTGATTTTTTGACCACTATAGTCTTTTTTTAATAATTAATTACTAAATTGACCTTATTTATAAACTATTTCAAAAATTTAGCCTTTCAAGAAAATATAACACCAATCTGTCCCTGTTTGACCGTTGACCATGAAGCCTACCCGGGTATATTTTGAAATTTTTTTACCTACACGGGTATATTTCTTGAATTTGGAAAAATATTTGAATTATTTACCCGGGTAGGGAGGGGTGTACCCGGGTAAATAATCATACCATTGTTGTGTGCGCTCATCCTCTTTGTGTGAAGAATAAGAGAAAGCCATTGAACAGTCAAAACTCTTTCTCATGTTTATCATTGGACTTGACTGAGCCATGATAAACATAGTCTACTCCATATTCCCTTCCATGGAGAAAAAAAGTAGTTGAACCATCAAAATCACCAATAACTTCAAATACAGGTGCTCATAGGATAGAATCATCTTGAATCACTAGTGAACCGAGCTCTTGAGGGATTATCCTGCACCCAATAACCGAAACAAAACCGGGCATAACATATACAAGGTTACTGTTACGAGCAAAAGAAAGAGAGGAGCTCCTACATGGGCTAAGGACTTTATAGTGGATGTTTAATTGCATTTTTATGAACTGAGGTACTGCATGTCAGTATTGTAGGAAGGGTATAATAGTCATTAAGCTGTCATAAGCTGTTAGATGAGGTGGCAGTTAGTTAGGAATTGTAGCCATATGTCCAATTGGTGGAATGCATAAAGTTAGTTAGTTGTCAAGTGTTTAAAGGGCAATTGTAAACAGAGAAGACTTCATTCTGAATAATATACACTTTGTGAATTCTTTCAATTCTTCTCTTGCTTCTTTGTTAGGGTTCTTACCTCTTAACATTGGTGCTTTCATATTGTTGTTCTCACGCCGTTTGACAATGAGAATTCAAGAGTTAGCTGAAGACTTATCCTCTTTCCAGACGCGAGTTGATCGAAGTTTGGAGGACCTGCAGCAGCGTTCTGTTGATCATCAAACCCAGTTCGTGAACCTCAACAATCAGCTTCAACAAATCCATGCAGCGATTATGGGTGTTGAATCTCGCATGAATGATCATGCCATACTCAGACCTTCAACAAATGCAGTTCCAAGTAGTTCTGGTCATGCAGAACATAATCAATTCAGGTTTGATCCTTCGGATTCGCGAAATGTGATGCGATCTGTTAAAATGGAATTACCTTCTTTTGATGGAAAAGATCCAGTGTCCTGGATTTTTCGAACGGAGTTGTATTTTGGGTTGCATCAAATACCCGATACTCTAAAGGTTCGTTTAGCAGGTATGAAAATGGAGGGAATGGCTGGTCCATGGTTTCAATGGTTGTTTAGTGGAGGCACGATTCAATTGTGGGAGGATTTCAAGGTTGCATTACAGCAACGTTTTGGTGGCACTACATACACTGATCTCAGGGGTGTGTTATCCAAATTAACTCAGGAGGGTGATCTTACTGATTACATTCGAAGTTTTGAAGCATTGATTAATCAAGTAACCGAGTTTTCTGATGCGGTTTTGATGATTTTTTTGTTTCTGGTTTGCAAGCTGATTTAAGGAGAGCAATTCAATTGCATAAACCCACTTCCTTGCATCAAGCCATGCAATTAGCCTTGACATATGAAGCTCATTACTTGGACCTTCGTAAGTCCCTGTCCTCTGTACCCCAGAAATTTTATCCCAAGCCTTTGTCCAGTGTCTCACACAACCCTACTACCACCTTTGTACCACACCACAAATCAAATTTTCCTGCCTTGCCATCTACTGTACCTATCAACAAACCAAGTTCTCTAGCCTTACCACCTCCAGCATCCAGTAGGAGGGTGTCTAATGAATATCTGCAGAAGAGAAGGGATTTGGGTTTGTGCTATACTTGTGATGAGAAGTGGAATTCTAAGCACATATGTAAAGGTCGTATGCTGTTCATGGTTGAGGAATCTGAAGATGTCGTGTTAAACAGTGAGGAACAAATAGTATGGCAGCCTGAACAGATGCCACAAGATCATACTGAATCAGTGATACAACATATGGATGCAGCATTACATTCTATGGAGAGTGACCAGAATCCTAGAGCTTTGCAATTTCATATTCAGATGAATGGCAGGTCAGTTCCTATTCTCATAGATTCAGGCAGTTCTCATAACTTTGTGCAAAAGGAACTAGCTCTCAGTTTAGGCTTGCCTATGATTAAAGTCCCAAAAATGAGGGTATTCTTAGGAAATGGGGATTTTCTGGTGTGTGAAAAGAAGTGTCCTGCTGCTGTGATGAACATTCAGGGGCATGACTTTGTGGTGGACCTTTGGATTATTGATTTAACTGGTCTAGGAATTATTTTGGGTATCGTGTGGTTGAGTACTTTGGGAAAAGTTATCCATGATTATATTGATCTATCAATGGAATTTAATTGGCACAATCAGAGGATAATTTTGAGGGGAGAGGGAGGCAGTAATGAGAGTTCTTCTGCTGAATGATTTGCTTTACCTCAAATTGATGCTGTCACCATGCTTTCGGGGGAAATCAGTGTCAAGGAAGGATTAACAGAATTGTCAACAGTAAAGGATATAATTCCTTTGGCTGTGTGGAACGTTTTGGTTCAGTACCAAGATGTCTTTCAAGTACCACAGGGACTACCTCCTGCTAAGGATTATGACCATGCTATCCACTTACAAGCAGATTCCAAGCCAGTTAATGTGCGGCCCTATAGATATGATCATCATCAAAAATCTGAAATCGAGAAGCAAGTGGCTGATTTGTTAGTTTCTGGTTTCATTAAGGTTAGCAGAAGTCCCTATTCTTCACCAGTCCCTATTCTTCACCAGTTCTGCTTGTGAAAAAGCATGACAATTCTTGGCGAATGTGCATTGATTATAGAGCTTTAAATAAAATAACAATAAGGGATCGATTCCCAATCCCTACTATAGATGAACTACTTGATGAATTGAGAGGAGCAAGTGTATTTTCCAAGTTGGATTTAAGAAGTGGATATCACCAAATACGGTTACTTCCTCAAGACACTCTCAAGACAGCCTTTAGGACTCATGATGGACATTATGAGTTTTTGGTAATGCCATTTGGTTTGACAAATGCTCCATCTACATTCCAATCGGCAATGAATCAAATGTTTAGACCCTATTTGAGACGATTCATCATAGTGTTCTTTGATGACATCTTGATATATAGTGTTTCTCTTGATGAACACTTGATTCATTTGCAATTGGCCTTAGAATGCTTGCAACAGAATCAGTTTAAGGTCAAAATTAGTAAATGTGGGTTTGCTCTATTTGAAGTGGACTATTTAGGACATCTTGTTTCAGGAGGGGGGGTTAAGGCTGACCCCAAGAAGATTTGTGCAATGATGGATTGGCCTCAACCAAAGAATATGAAGCAACTTAGGGGTTTCATTGGCTTAACTGGGTATTATAGAAGATTTATCCGCCAATATGCCACCTTGGCAGCTCCTCTCACTGACTTGCTTAGGAGTGACTCTTTTGTTTGGAATGATGAAGCTGCAACAGCTTTCCAATTGCTTAAGGAAACCATGAGTTCCACTCCTGTCCTTATTTTACCTGACTTCTCTCTTCCTTTTGTAGTTGAAACTGATGCATCATCAATTGGCATAGGGGCTGTATTGTTGCAGAACAGCAGACCAATATCGTTTTTCAGTAAGAAATTGGGACCTAGAATGAGGGTGGCATCAACCTATGTTAGGGAACTTTTTGCTGTCACTGAAGCTGTGAAGAAATGGAGGCATTATTTGCTTGGCTCTAAGTTTGTTATCAAGACTGATCATAGGAGCTTGAAGGAACTTCTTTCTCAAACAGTCCAGACCTTGGAACAGCAAAGGTATGCTTGTAAGTTGATGGGATATGACTTTGTTATCGAGTATAAGCCTAGTAGTTCTAATATTGTGGCTGATTCCTTATCTCGAATGTATGAAGAAGAAAAGGGAGGTATTACCCTG